CCTTCCGTCGAGAGGCCCCGTTTATCCTTATTTATTGGCTTGAGTAATTTGACTGTTCCCTTCTTCTCCCCCTCGCGCTTTCGCGACGGAACGTGTGCGTGTGCGTACGCTGCTGTGCGTGCGAGCGTGCGTCGCCAACCTATCCTCGGCAGACCGACAAGCACGCAGTGTTCCGCGCGCTTTATTCCCGCCCTTGCAGCCACTTCCAACTACTCGGCAGCGCAGCATCTCATCCAGGCCGCGGTGTCGTCGTTGCCCCGCGGCGCCTCGCGCGGCCACATCAGCGCGCAGATGAATTTTTCATCACGCGCCGCGTACATGCGCCAGGTGCGCGGCGGAGGGGAGGGAAGTGGGTTACTTACGTCCGCACATACTTTCACACTTGCGCTCTTGCGCATCAAATTGCACCCCCGAGGGCCGCGCGCGCCGCATATGCATTTGCATAGTGCACGTGGCGGTGCATGTGCGGGCGTCGCACACTGTCGGAAAACATGTCGCCGCTCTGGCAGATAGTCGATAACCTTGAGACTGTGAAAAATATCGTCGCTAATCTACAATGTATTTTGTAATTATTTTTTTCGAAATATTTTGTAAATTTATGATACCCGAAACTTGTTTGTCGATCAATTCCAATTTGATACGTAGAGCTTGTGATTTAAGAATTTTGAACTGTTATTTTACGACACGCATTACAGAAAATTTTTCTGTACAACCTTCAAGTATTATTTTTCACAGTGTGCCGATAGTGCTCTATGATAGCGTTATCAAGACCTTGGCCTAACTTCTCGGATCTGGAGACTTATTAGACAGAGATTTTGTTAGCTTAAAGTTAGTTTATGTGCTTTTTCCTTCCCTACACTGTTGGTAGACGTCTAGCCAGAACGGCGCATTCACACTGGAGATGGGCTGCTGCATCAGGGACGGTCTATCGGAGATGTCATAGTAGATGACGTTGCCATGTGCACGTCGGTGCTCGTTTGTGAGGAAAGCCTGCTTCCATTCCTTGTAGTACTCGTCGGTCATGTGCTCGGGCGTGGGCGTCCTGTGCCAAGCAACGATGAACGTCAAGAACGTGGGACGAGCCAATCAAGCATGCATGCCCATGGGAGAGGCATGCACTTTAAAACAATCCTCTATACTCACCCGTTCTTGATGTACGACGTCCACAGGCTGACCATGCGCCGCAGGGTGGTCGGAGCCAGGTCGTAACCATTGAGAGTCTGGTTCAGCTCCTCCATCTTCCACAAGTAGCCGAGCTCATCCGAGTGCACCGCCCCACCCTGGGCCTGATCCGGGTCCTGCAGGGGCGACAAGCTGTACTCGGCCCGGACGGCAAAGCGGTACAGGTACGTCTCAGACCTTGCGTTGCGCGCTCGAAGCTCGGCCAGGCGAGCGATGTCGTTGCCAATGAATATGTCGTCGAGGTACTGCAGCACAGACAAGCGTGAACGTAGAAAGCAGTCGAAGAGGACCTCACAGCGAGAACTTTGACTCGCTGTGAAACGGAACAACTGTACCCTGTACCTTTTTAAAAACGCACGTATCGTCACAGTCGGTGGCGTTATCTTTGAAGAATTTTTGACGCACAGTCCACACCGCCTGGTCCCACTCGTTCGGTGTCGGCGTTCGGTTGAGGTACGCCGACGAATCGCCGTATGGAATCACGTTCTTCGGGAAAACGGACAACAAGTCTTGTATCCTGGCTCGCATGACATCCGGCTTGGCCGCCCACCCTGCCGGAAAAAGGTTGGCAGAAATAGAAATAGGCTAAAACGCATGCTTATTTCTAATTTTTCCTTTTGTTCTAACAAGCGGCAGATTTTTAAAATTGCCCTTCTTGTGGGCTCTCACCGTAGTAGTAAAAGCCACCGAGCCACTCCCGCGAGTTCATGCCTAAGAACATAGGGAGCGGGTTCATATCCGCCAGGAGGTACTTCTCGGGGTCCTGTGTTATTAGCGCCGGTGGTCCCTGGAACGGGGCCCTCCGCTCGGGTGACACGGCGAACGGGATCTGGGTCGTGTTTCTCTGCAGAGGACAAGAGCCTGGTTTCAAAAATCATCGCCCAAGAAACTATGGGTCTCGCTGGGCCTCTCTGGGCCTCTCTGCCATCACTTGGTAAGGGTACCTACCATGGTGCGGTCATTCACCACGGACAGCGCAGCGTTCAAGATGGCCTCGGCGGGGACCTCCATGACCAGTTGCGCGACTTCCTCCACGCTCGTAAGGTAAGACCTGCCTAGGCGGGAACCGAGGTCGAGCGCCACGTCGAAGTTATCCTCGTTGTACGCCCAGCTATGAAGCGCCGAGCCACTCTCGAGAATGGTGCGATGCACAAGACCTAGAGAATGCTCTAGATGAACCGGAAAACAAGAGAGACACGCGGGGCCATATACCATACACACTCACCTCTCGATTCGGGCAGAAGGGACAGCCAGTGTGCAGAGGCAGCTCCGGCTGATTGGCCACCAATAGTGATAAGTTTCGGGTCACCGCCAAACTTTTCAATGTTTCTGTGCACCCACTGGAGAGCGGCGATCTGGTCCTTGATACCGGCATTCCCGGGTGCGATGTCGTTGTCCAGGTTGAGGAAACCTTTAGAAGACCCGGGTACAAAGCGGGGTTTAAGTCAAGGCAAACTTTAAAGGTCGGTCAAAGAGTCAAGACAGCAGACCTACCGAATGCGTTGAGACGGTAGTTGATGGTAACAACGACCACGTTCTGGAGCAAAAAGAACTCCGGCCCATATACATTTCTCGATCCCGAACCAAAAATGAACGAACCTCCATGAATGAAAAAGTACACGGGCAGCAGTTTGTCGGACTAGGGAAACCAGAAAAGGGGTTAGAATTAGGAATGTAAAAGAAAATTAACTTAAGCTAAAAGTTGACTCACCCCATTTAATTTTGGAGTGTACACGTTGAGGTACAGACAGTCTTCAGACCCACCCCCTTCCTGCATACACTGGTTGCCATCGTAGTTTGCAGTTCGGATGCCGTCCCAGCTAGTTGGTTGCGGGGGCTTTCGTAAGAGAAAAATTTACAGTGCCAATAACTTCTGTCCTTTCGCGATAAAAATCTATCACAAATACTTATCAAGAACCAAGATGCAAACTGCTTCTTATTTAACAAATGTAATCGTTTGTTTAAAAATACTGAGAGTTTGTGTAAACAGAATAACAGTGTAGTTACGAGCTTCGAGTTAGTGCGAGCTTACTAAGCCAGAGCTGCAGGCACCGCTCTAATTGCTCGGCGTTGTTACCTTAAAGCGCAACGGTCCCAAGGGTGGTTCGGCGTACGGGATTCCACGGAAAGACGCGTAGCTGACATCGGATCCGGGAATGTCCACCCACTGTCCAAGCAGTCTTCCCTCGGCGACCGTGACTTCAGGGTAGCTGGACTTAACTTCCCTATCAGAGAAAAAATGATGTAACTGAAGAGTTCAAATGTTCAGTCCGAATTGGGCGCCGTGCACGTACTCATCTTGATCCGGAAGAACGAGTACGATGACAGCAACTACAGCAGCGATCACGACAGCGATCACGGCCCCGCAGACGATCAGTACTGGTCAGACAATGACTTTAATTTTCGTTAAGAGAGGCATAAACACAAACATTCAAGGCATGCTTGCAAAGTACAAAATAATCCATATCTTTAAAACAAAATGCCATAGCAGTGGTCTTGAAATTAAAGTGCAGGAAAGTTGGGAAGCACAGCGCATCCGATACGCCGCTACGTACCTAGCTTCTTCCGTCTGGTGGGCGTTAGCGTCATTACGAGCAGGAGGCCGGAGTCGGTCTGTCACGGGTGTTGTCCACGTTGTTTGGACCGGTATCAGCAGCAAGTCATCGAAAAATCGAAAGCCGCCACAATCCGAGTGAAAGATAAGCAACACAAGTGCCACTATGTACTCGGAAGAGACAGATTTATCTCACCACTTGTCTGACGAATACACTAACACTTAAAAGTGGCGTAACATTAAAGGAAACTCGTTAGTTACTTTGTGTTCGTGTAATAGCAATAATAGCAGTCACAATTTATTTTAAGGGACACATTGATTCAACTTACTTTAAGTGACTGATTTTACAGTACGTAATGCACACACAAGGAAAAAAACCTGTACAACCATGCATTCTAGATTGAAATGTTCTTCCAGTACCTTATATTCAGGTTCACTAGTCTTTGTTCTTGAATAACTATCTTTAGTAATACCAAATTAATCCTTGGTGTTCCCCATTCGTTTTCCCAAACCTTATGGGACGGAGACAATATTTAACCACAAAGTAGTTGGCGGCTGAATGTTGGCGGTGTGAATAATCATTTACTAGGATTCCCCAATGCTAGAAATCTCGGACTCGGTCGCCAACTTCCTTGTGGTTGAATATTGTTTCCGTTTACTTGCGTGTTGGTTTGGGTAAATGAAAAGGGAACACCAAGGGTTAATTTAGAATTAGTCCGGTAATTGGCTGAGCGATTAGCGAAGCCCATTACTCCACTGACC